CAAAATATTTCCGAGTACACTTTCCTACAACACTAAAGACAAATTCAAGTGAATGAGTATTAAAGAAAAATAGTTCAAGGCACACTTCTTATAACAGTAAATTTTGCACTCTTCTTTTACAAAATGTACAGGATTATACACTGGTGTAGGTGACTCTGACAAACTCTCCATGTCTTTAAATTGCTCACAGATATATACCAAGTGGTTCATTCGCCCCGCTCCAAACCTGACGAGAAGTGAACAACGTGAATCAGCCACCTGGTATGTCAATAGAGCCTCAATTCTTAACATATAAAATAGCTGGAAACTTTAACGACCCAAATCAAACGGTAGAGATTGTTAATTTAATTAGGGAACTGCTCAGCTTCAAAAAACATTTAGACAAAAATCTAAGGACCAACATGAACACAACCAAAACAAATATATACAAAGCTTAGAAAGGAAAAGAGCATCTTATTGGCACCATATTGGTTCTGGAATGGACCAACATCTATCACAACTTTGTCTTACAATGTGGTATCACATTTCGGAAGATATGTTAATGAGCTATACAGAAAAGTGAAACAACTGGAGCGGATTGGGATCTAATCAAATATGATGGGTAAAGTTTTTCCCTTTCCCTCCAAACAGAGAATATCAGTAAATTTAAGTACTATCACATTCAAAGGCACATATACTAGGTCGCCTCCGGAGGCCTGGCGGCTCGCCTTGCGGTTTGGAATGCGTTACAGACTATTGATTGCAACTCCCGCACGATGAGCTGGTTCCCCGAGTTCAATATACATTTCATTATGAATACATCTAAACGTCTACGACCCTTTTTTCCCCCTTGTGATAGTACCCCCGTCTCAATTGAGCTTTGTAAAACCACATAATTTAGAATATCTTTTAATAATACCGCTGGAGACTTTCTTTTTACAATTATTATGGAATGGCGAATTTTCGTAATGACGCGTAATACCAACATATACTCGCGCTGTCTTGGTAACTATGCTCTGCAAGAGCCACTTCACACACTGTACACGGGTCACTCAATGTCCCGACGACGCCCCGAAAGGCTTGCCCTGCGCGCCTGTGCGCTCGTGCCCGCCCGCACCCACGCCCGCACCCACGCTCGCACCGCGGTCGCATATTCACATTTCCTGACCCTCGACGCTCGGCCGGGGGACAGCAGTTTGATTCCGAGGGTACCCCTCGTTTGACAGGGGCAGGGAATACGGCCCGGCCCGGCCTCACAATCAGCCTTATATGAAGAAGGTGGTGGCGCTGTAGCCCCCTCACGGCACGGACGTGGTGGTCAGCGACGTCTCGCGCGTCGTCGAGTTGGCGGAGGGCGTTGGCGTGGTCGTGTGGTTACCCGCCTCCTTCCCCAAGTCCTTGGAGGAGGACGACCTCCTTCGCGACGACCTCCTGGACAGCTTGCCCAGGTTGTCCTCGTCGTCCTCTTCGTCGCCCTCGTCGATGATGGAGATGTCCCTGAGCGAGGGGCGGGTGTGCCGCCGCCAGTTCTCCGGGAACTCGGGGTCCACCGTGGTCTTGGTGAGCATCCGCGGGCCCAGGAGCGTCATCAGGATGGCGATGGAGGGAGCCGTGAGCAGGATCGACATGACGCACGTGGTGAGGAACAGCTCGGCGTGCTCGCGGTCGCCCTCCTTACCCACGGCGTTCTCGCCCTCTTGGGAGGACTCCCGGATCAGGTCCAGCGGCACAGTGCACAACGCGGCCTGCACCGAGGCCTTCGCCATCAGCGACAGCGACACGAACACCTTCTCCTTGGTGTTCAGCCGGCTGCGCCAGGACACCACGATGGTGAACAAGATGCGGATCTGCAAAGAGGCAAACGAGTCATCATCCGTCCACCCGTACACCTGAACAACGTATCATCTGTTGTTGTACTCACAACAAACCCTGTAACCAAGGCCCCGATGACCTTCCACACGTTCTGCGGGTCCAGCTCATCCATCTTGATCATGGTGCCCGTCAGTCCGAACAGAATAGGCTCGAAGACCATCCAGAAAATCTCAAACGCCGTGGCGACAGGATTCTGGAACAAACAAACACAGCACATGTTTTGTGCATTCATAAACTACAACAAATTTCTCCGGTCCTTCAATCAAGAGGAGTTGTTGACACCCACCTCTTCGAACTCCCAGCCCTGCTGCGTCCACGAGTAGCACGAGACGAAGGCGGCGGAGACGACAGCGAGCGGCCCTGCGCCGCCCAGCCCGATGGACTCGGAGCCCAGGACGGCGATGAGGCCGCCGCCGAACAGCATGAGGACCCTCATGGGCACTACGAAGGGCTGCGGGGAGAAAGAGGGGCGTGAGTGGCGAGTGGTGAGTGAACAAGTGCGTCGAGGCGTAGGGGCACAAAAGTAGTGTCTTACGTCGTTCCGCTCCGGGACGTATTTGGCCAGCACGCCCCACAGCACGCCGAACCCGAGACCCATGACGACGGACAGCGGGCCCTGCACGATCTGGTACAGCAGCGAGTCTGCGAACAAAACGGCAGAAACAATTAGGAAAACGACGTTCAAATACCGCCATAACGCCACAGCACACCACCAGCAGCGCCGGGCGCTCGCCGCCGCGGCGCGGGTGGACCTGGCCTGGCCTCGCCGCGTTTTGCGTACTGGAAACAACTGACAATTGGGACGTTTTGGACACTCCAATTGCAATTGCCGGGATGGGTCGGCACAGCGCTCCAATCGGCCGCGAGCAAGGACGACCCTCGTGCCCGGCGCACGCCGCCGGCGTTCATCTGCCTTGCGCCCCGGCGGACAATCCTTTCCTTCCGGTGGCGCTCCAGTCAGCTGACCGCGCCAACCGCGCCCTGCTGGCCACCCTGCTGGTCATCCTGCTGGCCGTGCTGTTCGCCGTCCTGCTGGCCGCCCCGCTGTCCACCCTTCCTCGTGGGCGCCGTCAGCTCATCACCACCTTGCCCTACTCACCGTGCGAGAACATGATGCTGCTGATGATGCCGAAGCCCGCCACGGAGGCGGCGTCATCGATGCCCGAGATGGCGATGATGAGGGTGGGGATGCCCTTGGCCGTGCCGTAGCCCTTGCCGCGCAGCCGGAACAGGCAGGGCACCGTCACCGCGGGACTCACGGCCGCCACCGTCACTCTGGAATCAGTAGGAAACACACACGCGTTAGTAGGTGTAGCGGCGAGCGCGGGCGAGCGGCCAGCGTGCGCGCCGGAGGAGCGCCAGGACGCCCGTTCGAACCCGCAAAGCGAGAACTTTGACAGTTGGGTCCAAAGGTCTGAGTGTGCATGTGAGCGCTGGCGCGGCGCTGCGCACCGCACGGCAGGGTGAAAGAGAGACAGAGATGCTATCTGCCGCTGCTGCTGCTCACGGGCCAGGCGGGCGCGGCGGGCCCATTCAGGGCGCAATTTGGGGCGTCGTGCTCACGCCTCCATCGTCCGGTGTGAAACTGCGGTGTGACGCGCACGGTGTGCGTTATACCGCGGGCTGGCTATCGGGCGGGGCCGGACCGAGCCGGACCGGGCCGGCGCGTCACGTCAGGCGAGCGAGAGGTGGTCGTGGTCCGCGGTGCAGCGGCGCGGCGCGCTGCAGGCCTAACGATATATAATGTGCAGCGCAGTCCGCCGCCGCCGCCGGAAACTCGTCGCGGTCCTGCTGGTGAGCAGACTGGGCGCAAGCGCGCCACCCACCACGTCGCTGCTGACTCATCCCGCGTCCACTTTCGCAGCACTGCAGCTGCAAATGAACCGACTCTGCTGCTGGCGAGCGGTTTATATTGCCTATCGTCGTTGACCGCGGCGAGTAGGCAACCCAGCAGCACAAGCCGTTCAGCAGTGCAGTCTGTGAACCTCCACCCGAGGTAAATGCGTGGCGCGTGAAGCTGGGCGCTCGCACGCACTCGGGCGCGCCCGGGTGGGCCGCCGGCTCCACACGGATGCCCGGCGGGCTGGCCTACCCGGCGCGTGGCAGGCGCTTATGAATACCGACCCTGGCACGTCCATTTGTGGGGACACATTCACAACGGAAATGGGCGTGTCAAATCAGAGCAAGCCACCTGCAGCTGTATAGCGCTATCCCCACCGAAGCAGTGCGACCAGAGAAGTTTCCGAACACATTTGAGCACCACAACCCCTATGGTCGTACCCTGGGTTAAAATAAAGGGGCTCGTAAAGACGCCCTCTGTCTGATTCACGCCTTACATTCTTTTGAAGAGTGGGCTGACCATCGCAACTGCGTGAGCCTCTTTGTAAGATAAAAGACTGTTTGTTTATTGTCAGCCCCTACGCGCATTTTCAGACTATGTGGTTTGCCCTGATTTTGGTGCAGCATAAACGTATTTTTAAACGTGACCAATCGGTTCTTCTTGGTCGGTTTCGTAGATGACACAGTGGTGGTCAGGTGCAGCTGGACGACGAGGTGGGTGTTGAGCTTCACCTGCGCTTATTTGGATTTCAGCCACTGACTTCACTTCGGACGTGAAGTCACCCGCGCGGGTTCAGGCTTTTCACCTCAACTCCTTCCTCGCGGAAGACGTGCGGTGCGCTCACGCAGCATCTGCTGGATATACCAACTCGCCGCATAGAGCTATTTGAAAGCAAAGAGCGCGCCAAAAAGGGATGGCTTCCGGCGGAAGATTATTACTCTTTTGCGTGTCGCCGGCGTGTTTGACATTGCATGAGCGACCCCCCTCCCCTCC